AGAATAACTGACTGAGGCTAGTCCAGACAAGTAACTCATGCTGGCCTTGAACTCAGGATCCTCCCACCCTGACATCTTAGAGACCTGCCACTATCACCCAACCCTCCAGAAGCTATGCCTGGGGCATACAACTGAGACCAGCCACCTTACAGGTTCATCCTTTTATTGGATATGTTAACAAAAGAGGTTTAGTCAAAAAGACCAAAGCCCATGTCGTCATCAGACTCCTCAGATTCTTCCTTCTTTGCTTCCACTTTCTTCTCCTCAGCTGGGGCAGCAGCAGTTGAGGGGGCAGGACCGCCTGCTGGCGCGGCTCCAGCTGCTGGAGCAGGCCCACCAGCCCCTACGTTGCAGATGAGGCTCCCAATGTTGACATTGGCCAGGGCCTGCAACACAAAGGACAAGTAAAGCGTTTACTCCTGCCCTTTATGTTCCAATCACTTGTTCTGTTTGGCTTTTTCGAGACCAGACCAATGCACAGGCCCACAGTCAATACACAAGCAAAATTGATATTCAGTGTGAAAGCTGGGCCTGTATTTGGTTGCTGTTTTCAAGGTACACGAATTTCCTCTCATGGTGGGAAAATTTGTTCTAAGTAACCCAGGAGAACAAAATGGACAGATTTTCCAAATTTCTAAACTCTTTGAACCCAACCCCCTTCAGTTGGCTGACCTCCCTTCCTAGAAATAAAGCAATTTGTACAGAACTTTCTATACGAGGCCACTAAACTTAATTTCTACAAAATATGAACTGTAACACTTAAAGAGATTTTTTTTTTGGAGTAACACAGTTAAAGTTTTTAATCTGTTAGAAACCAGGGACTGATATAAAAGCTACACCATTAAGTACAAACTAAGATACAAAATCCAAGAGGGGCGGTGGAAAAAGTACATTAGCAAGACTTCCCCAACTCTTACCTTTGCAAACAGGCCAGGCCAGAAGGGTTCAACATTGACACCAGCTGCTTTAATGAGGGCATTGATCTTGTCCTCCTGGAATACAAAGCCAATCCGTCAGAGCGATCAGAATACGGTTAAAAACCAAGTCCCAGAAGTCGCTTATACAGTCCCAGAAGTTGCCAATTCGGGCTATCTAAGGGCAGCTCATGCTTAGTCTCATAAAAGACATCGGCCAGGTTTGAAGGCTCGGAGGACTAGTGCGATTGCCTCCAAAGCCTGACGACACGAGTTCGAATCCTAAAAGCAAGTAGAACGATAATCCGCTCTAATATTTGACCTCTGGCAAACACAAGCGCGCGTACGACCGCCGTTCACGGCCACTGGACCGCGAGAGTAGAAGAGCGCGTGCGCGCCTGGGGCCTCCAAGGCATCGAATATCCGAGACCGCGACGAGTCGGCCAGCCGAGTGAGTGCCTGGCCCCCGCCAGCACCACACGTGGCCGCCCCGCGGCTCCCCACGCCGCGCACTCACCGTGACCGTCACCTCGTCGTCGTGCAGGATGAGGGCGGAGTAGATGCAGGCGAGCTCGGAGACGGAGGCCATGTTGCGGACTGCCGGCACGGTGCTAGTCGCCGGATGAAGTGAGGGCCTCACCCCAACGCGGCCTTAGCTCCCTCGGAAGAACCGAGCACCTTGGCGGCAGCTGAGGAAAGGGTCACACGCGCCTGCGCGAAGCCTCTTATGGGGGCCGCGGCGGCCAATCGATGCCCGGCTCCGAGCGGAAGGGGCAGAGCCAAAAACGAGAGGCGGTGCCGTGCCTTGCCGAACGCAGTTCCGGAGCTGCGCGTTCGGCTTCCGGTTTGGCGGGCGTGGGGCGGTTTGCGAGCGTAGGAAGTGCTAAACTTTACGGTTTAGCAGCTAAGAGGAAAGTTTTCTGTGAAAACGCACTGGTCCTGTCCCTTGTTTGTTTGGTTTGTTTTTTTCAAGACAGGGTTTCTCCGTGTAGTTCTGGTGCCTGTCCTAGAACTCTTTAGACCAGGCTGGCTTCAGACTCACTGAGATCCGCTTGGCTCTGCCTTCCGAGTGCTGGGATTAAAGGCGTGCACCACCGCCGCCCGGCCTGTCCCCTGCTTTAATTAGCAGGAGCGCTCCCGCGGCTTGGGCACACTGTGAAAAAAGTCAGTAGCTGACTGAAGCCCTGCCGGTCACGTGGCTGGCCCCACCCCCACCCCCGCACCGTGCGCGCGTGCGCGCGCTAAGCCCGGAGTCAGATGAGTAGTAGGTAAATACCATAAAGGGTCTAGAGTGAATCGAGGTTAACAGGACACTTCATCTCAAGAAAACTCTAAAGTAATTCATTACATTAAGAAAGCACAGAGGTGCCTCGGAGGTTAAGCCATTTTACTGCTCTTCCAGAGGACCCGAGATCGATTCTGCCACCCCAAAACTCGAATTCCAGGTCCAGGGGATCGGATCCTGGCCGACCTCAGCAGACACGCTCACATACACATAAAAGAAAACACTATTTTTAAAAGGATCATATAAGGTATGGTGGGAAAAATAAACACAGAAGGGAGGAGGGACCACGTGATGAAATTTGGCAACTAATCACGTAGACTCCTAGAAAACTAGGAGGATAACTTTCATAACGCGATAAGGAGCAAACATTCAAAGCAAATACCTTTTTTTTCGAGACAGGGTTTCTCTGTAAAACAGCCCTGCCTATCCTGGAACTCACTCTGTAGACCAGGCTGTCCTCGAACTCGCTGAGATCCACCTGCCTCTGGTAGTGCTGGGATTAAAAGGCTTGCGCCACCACCGCCCAACCCAAAACAAATATCTTAATAGAAAGAAAGAAAGAAAAAAAAAAACCTTAAACATTCTTTGAAAGTGGGGAACAGACATGTCTTCCTTTGCTTTTGCGTGAGTGCATGGCGCTTTATCACAGCAATAGTAACCCCAAGACTGCTCGTACACACAAACAAAACTTAGAAACTCAAAATACCCATCAGGTTGGGGTACAGCTTAGTTGTGGAGCTCTTGGACAGTTTGTCTAAAGGTGGCCTTGGATTTCAGAGCTAGGGACTTGAAATCAGAACCTCATGAATACTAGGCGAGTGGTTTACCAAAAAACACCTCCAATGTGTGATGTTGCTTTAAAGTTCATGTAATTCCGATTTCAGCACCACAAACAAGCTATGAAGCAGTTATCAAAAGGAACCTAAGTAGAGCAATATAGTTTTCACAGATAAGACCTTCAGTGGATAATTCTCCCCAAATTATATAGTTCCAACCAAAATTCTATTCACAATCTCAGTAGAATTTGACAAGCTTGCCTCAAATCTCTAAAATAAAAAACTAACAGGGTGTCATTTTTCCCAGCTGACCTTGACCTTGCTATGTAGCTGAGGATAACCAGGAATGTAGGATCTTCCTGCCTTCACCTGGGATTGATTGTAAGTGTGCACCACTACAGACAGTTCATGCAATGCTAGGGATCAAATCCAGAGCCTGGTGTACTCTATGCAAGCAGTCTACCTACTCAGCTACATCTCAGTCCCCTTATTATATAACCTTACTATACAACCCAGGCAGCTGGCCTTGAATTTGTGGTAATCCAGCCGGGCGGTGGTGGCGCACGCCTTTAATCCCAGCACTCGGGAGGCAGAGCCAGGCAGATCTCTGAGTTCAAGGCCAGCCTGGTCTACAGAGATCCAGGCTAGGCACCAGAACTACACAGAGAAACCCTGTGTGTGTGTGTGTGTTTGGGGGGTTGGGGGTGGGTGGGAGGGTAGAATGTATTCCTTGCATGCTAAGGACATGAAATCCATCCCTGGCATCATAAATAAAGGTGCCATAAAAAAGGTCATGGGCAGGAAGATCCAAAGTTTCAAGTTGCAAAGGATACATACAGTGTTACACACCCCAACACTTACTAAGTAGTTTTATTGCAAAGGCTCTTGTATTTGAGAAACCAAACTCACAATCAGGAAATACTCATTAAATCAATGAGATCCTATTTCATGTCTATCAGTTCTGAGAGTTGCTAGTGAGAATGGCAAAAGAACACATTTACAAAAACCTAGTTCAAGCTGGGTGTGTGCACAGCCGACAACCAGCACTTCTCACCATCATCTCTGCCCTCAACACTCCAGAGCATATGCACGAGGGGCCAACTGCAGCACAAGTCTCTGCAGTATAGAGAAAACTGCACTCTGAGTGACGGAGCACACGGAAAAGTCCTGTTAAATCTGGCTTCCTTCCATCCAAGGCTTTGACGGTGAGCACATTCCCTCAGAGGAATGCCCGAGTTATAGAAATCAAAGTTAGTTTTCAACCAAATTAGCCATTAGGAGCTAAGAAGTGTCCAGCAAAGCTCATGTATTAAGATAGGACAAACAACATGGTATTTTGATGTCGGACTTGGCTTTATAAGCTGACTTTGGGGTCCATGAGCAATATCTTAGTCTGTTTCATACCCCATAAGGTTCATTCATTCACAGCCAAGTTTCATTTTTTTTAATTTATTTTTTAAATTTTATAATTAAATTTTACATATCAGCCATGGATTCCCGTCC